TACTGGCCTTTTCCTAGCTGTATTTGCCTTGCAGCATTTTGGGCTTTTTTTGTATGTAATTTCTGGAAAAAAACATAGCATGTTTTCTCATACAAAAAACTTAAAAACACTTCCTAGAAGTTTTGTTAATGACCATTAAATGGTTTCTGTGTTCTTGATTTAATGTTGAATCTTTGCAAGGGCTAGCAAGCTTTAATAAGCTACTGTTTATCTAATGAATATCACTTAAAATTGGATTTATAATGCTGCTGGTTTCTTTGATTACATGAACTTTTCCAAGTGGTACTTAGAAAATAAAGTTAGGACATATAATATATTACATATATAAAACACCAAATTGATCTTTCCTTAAGAAAATAAAACAAACACAAACATTCCTACATGGAAACACAGCATCTGTTTACCTGGAGTACTGAATGCTTTTGTGGTCTCAGTCCAGAGGATGACAGTTGAAAATGAGAATCCTTTCTACTCTCTCCCATACACTTACACACACACACTTACACACACACACACAAATTTGGTATATAAAATAGTAATGAAAGACTAACTTGTGTTCATATTAAAGATGGATAGTCTGCCTTTGAAAAACTGAGGACTGTCTATTGAATCATGAAAGATGTAGCTTTAGGACAATTTCTAAAAATTGATGTTTTCCAGCGGGGTCTAAATAGGGTATAATTTAGACCATGATATAATATAAAAATATAAACAGCTCCCAAAGGATTTGGTCAGTTTGTAGATATTAGGCTTGTTCTGGGTAGCTAAGTGAGACCACAGCTACCTAGGGCATAAAGTTATTAACTTTTCCAAATGTATATCATGGAGAATACTCATGTCCTAAGTCTTCACATCTGATACTCCCCTTCTCAGACAAAACAGTGGGCTGGGAGGACCCTGCTCAGACCTGGTGTGGTCTAAACCGTCATTGACATGAGAAGGCAGATTGCTTTACTTGAAGATATCTGTTATTCATTAGTCAAGATCTTTAGGAACTGTGCCAAGATTCCTGTCTTAAATGATAGTTAAGTGATTCAATGTGGGTGTTTCCGTGATGCAAGGAGCAGGTTTTACATGTTCTAATTCCAAGGCAGTCTTTCTCAAGACAAAATGTTTAATTTTCCATTTTGATTTTCTCTAGACTCAGCACTTTAAATAAGCAAGACATTCACTGAATTGTTTTAACATAGCATGGGAAAAGATCTTAAAATATTCCTGTATTTATGTTCACCTGTTGGCTTTAGGTTAGGTGAATTCGCTTACCATTTCTTTGGTTTAATTCCTTCCAAGCACTTGAAACTAAGCATAAATTATACTTCAGCTATAAAGTTAGATGAAATATAATAGTAATAATTTTTTATGTTAATTTTCCTCAAATAAATAAGTAAAATTATTAATATTACTCCTTATAGAAATATTATATATAATTTATTTAGCTAGACTTTTCAAACCTTTATCTGTGATTATAAAAGTTTAGTTATTGAAACAGGTTCCTTGTTAGGAAGTTTTGCCTGTTTTTATTGAAAACTCACATTCTGCTATACAATTTTTTAATTATGTTTGCATTCTTTTACATGCATATATAGATATATTTCATTACAAAGTTTCAAACTTGTGAACTCAACATAAAAATTTTTTGCTTATTTAACTATTGGATTTAATTGAACTTAATGATAAGCAGTAGCCATTTAAAAAAGTCTAAAGAATGAGATTGTAATTGACAGTGGGTCACATGCGTAAAGCTGTACACTCCTTTTTGGTAGTGCTGCATCTGTTTTAATAAGGACTTTAATCATCTAAGTTGTCCTCAAACTTTATGGATATAAGAAACATGACTAAAATGCAGATTCTTGGGTGCTGCCTGCCAGCTCTGATTCAGTAGGTCTGGAGGGAGGCACAGGAATCAGTATCTTTTTTTTTTTTTTTTGAGACAGAGTCTTGCTCTGTCGCCAGGCACCAGACTGGAGGGCAGTGGCACGATCTCGGTTCACTGCAACCTCCGCCTTCTGGGTTCAAGCAATTCTCCTGCCTCAGCCTCCCTAGTAGCTGGGACTACAGGCGTGCGCCACCACGCCCAGCTAATTTTGTATTTTAGTAGAGACGGGGTTTCACCATGTTGGCCAGGATGGTCTTGATCTCTTGACCTCGTGATCCATCTGCCTCGGCCTCCAAAAGTGCTGGGATTACAGGTGTGAGCCACCAGGACTGGTAGGAATCAGTATCTTTTTAAGAAGCACCACTGCCTGTTTTGCCTCTGTGGTCTGTGGGCTATACTTTGAGAGGTCTGATTAATTAATGTTCTTTCCAAAACACGGTCTCTGTTCTCTTAAAAGTTATCTTACTTGAAGAACAAGGCAAAAGTGAGAAAAGAGACTTATTGAGTTTCACATTTTGGCTTTCTTTTTCCTTTCTATTTTAAAATAAATGTTCCCATTTTAACCTTATCTCTAAAATCGCTCAGTGGTCTGACAGGAAGAGCTAGAAGATTTGGAGGAAAGTAATAAAAATTGTCCATATAAAACAAGGCCCAATCAGGTACAGTCTCACCACTGTCCTGACCTAATCCGTGTGAAAACAGTGTTCCTGGGACAGAGAAGTGTTTCATCTCCTTAATAATCTATTGAGCCCCAGTCATTCATGAATCTAGAGGAAGACCTGGAAGGTGCATGGGAGTTGGAGAAGGGCACGTGGAGCCTTAGTTCAGGTCTGTCTCTAACAGACGAAGAGAGAAAAATGCATCAGATGGCGGAGGAACCATCTTTATGGGATGGTGCAGAACCTTGTGAATGCAGAAGAAAATAAAAACACGAGGTATTGGAGAAAAGTCACAGGGACACAGGAGGAACGTTTTGAGTTGCGAAGGCCAGGGAGTTAGTAACTGATAGCGGTGTGCTTCCTTCCTCACCGTCATCTTGGGACAGGCATTTTTAGCCTTGGAAAACAGATGCAGAGGCCGGAGTATGGCCAGCAGGGGCAGAGGCAGAGGCAGGGGACAAATGAGGCCCCGCCGCTCCAACGCCCTTGCTCTTTCTGCCAGCTCACATCTTTGCCTCACCTTGACCAGTCAAACGACCTAGAATTAAATGAGGACAAATCCTGTCAGCTGTGCTGTGTTACAGAGTAAGGGTAACGCCAAGGCGGAGGGTATGTGACTCATGACTCTCCTTTTCACATGCAGTGAAGGCTAATAGGTTAAGTGTGCATGACCTTCCACGAGCAAAAGAATGGATAAAGTGGCATATCCATACCATGGAATATTAACCAGTCGTAAAAAAGAATGAAGTGTTGATTGATGCGATAACATGACGAACCGCATCATACTATACTCAGTGAAAGAAGCCAGTCACAAAAGGACACATAGTATATGATATTCTATTGATGTGAAAGGTCCAAAATCGGCAAATGTATAGAGACGGAAAGTCGATTTGTGGTTGCCAGAAGCTGGAGGAAGAGGGGAGGGAGGGTGGCTGCTAACGGCCCGGGGTTTCTTTCTGGGGTGATGAAAATGTTCTGGATTGTTAGCGGAGATGGTTGCACAACGCTGTAAATATAGTAAAAACCACTGAATTATACACTTTAAAAGGGCAAACTTTATAGCATGTAAATTATATCTTTTAAAAAGTTATGTTTTGGATTCAAATAGGCTGAACTCAAATTCTGTCTAAACCATTTACCTGCTGTGTGGCTACGGGCAGGTTCTTTGAACTCTAGGTATATCCATTTCTAAAATAGGAACAATAGCAGTGTGTACCTTAGGAAGTTATTGTGGGATTTATACTACCCAGGTAATGGTACACTAAAATCTTCACCATCATGCAATTCATCCACGTAACCAAAAACCACTTGTACCCCAAAAACTACTAAAATTAAAAAATATATAAAAATAAAAACCAAATAGCCAGGCATGGTGGTGCACACCTGTAATCCCAGCTACTCAGGAGGCTGAGGCAGGAGAGTCGCTTGAACCCGGGAGGTAGAGGTTGCAGTGAGCCGAGATCCCACCACTGCACTCCAGCCTGGGTGACAGAGTGAGACTCCGTCTTAAAAATAAATAAATAAATAATAAAATGGGAAAGAAAAAAGTTGTTGTGAGGATTCCGTGAGCTAATGCATGTTCTGAATGTTACGAGGTATTACCGCTAGAGGAAAGGTTGTGTGTGAAGAGGTTTTAACCCTCAGTGCGGGTTGAACAATAGGCATTGTTGACTAGAACCATTCGTGTGGAGAGCATGGAGCTCTGTATTTCCTCAGTGCAGAATAGAATGGCCCACGGCTGGAGGTGCGCCTGAGGTCTTCAAACCTAGAACTTGATATCCATCACATCCTGATTTTTTTTTTTTAGGGGAAAGATAGATAAATAAGATCTCTTGTGTAACACATTTTGAATACCTAGGAAATTAAAATTTAGTCAGAAATTTAGAAAAGTAGTTTGCTTCCAAGCTGGTTACACAGTCAGAGCTACTTCCACACTCAAACCGTTTTATTTAACACCTCTGCCTAGACATCAATATATTTTTTCAATGATTATTTTTGCATGGAACCAAACATTAGTATGAAACAAAGATCCCTTAAAGGTATTTAAAACATTTCCTAAAGAGTGTATAATTTGGATTGTTCAGTATCAAAAATGTTGTTTATTAGGATCATGTTGTTAGAACCTGGGTGAACCTTATAAAGACACCCGTTAGGTGGCAAACTTACTACATGAAAAACAGCTTAATGAAGTTTGACTTTCGTTTCAGAGATGTAAACTTTTGCCAAAAACTAGAGGAGGGGAGAAGGCATTTCTGAGTCTCAGTATATTAATCTCTTACACATTAATTGCCTGTTCTTCTCCTGAAATATGGAGAGGCTTAAGTATTGTCAAAAGAAAAACTGTCCTTCCATCCGAACATAACTAGTAGGGGAAAAAAGCCCAAAACCCTATTAATACTGTCATAAGTAATTTCTAAACTTGGGATGTCTGTCTTGTTAATTGCTGTTTCTTTCACTTCTTGCAGCGTGGGGTAGAGCAGCAGCTGCCATGCTCTTCTGCGGCTTCATCATCCTGGTGATCTGTTTCATCCTCTCCTTCTTCGCCCTCTGTGGACCCCAGATGCTTGTCTTCCTAAGAGTGATTGGAGGTCTCCTTGCCTTGGCTGGTAAGACTATGTGTCAGCAAGTCTTCATTTATGTCTTCAGTGGGCATCAACTTAGTAATGGTCGATTCCACAAAGAAGACCCATGACAATTACAGTTTCTAACCTGTTTTCAGAAAATGTATCACCAAGGGCAGAAGTGACAGAGGAAAGATGTGTTTTAAGATCTGGGTCCCTTTCCTCCTGTGCCTCAGGCAGTGTTCTGTACTCCCTACCCAAGTGACCAGGGTGTCACTCCGCATGCCCGTATCTCTCTTAGGGGGCCCTATCCACTGACTCCTCTACCCAAGAAACTAGGCTGTGTCAGCTCTGGAAAAGCGGTGATCTCCATAGGGGTCCCCAGCCCTGGCCTGCTGTGAGCCCCCTGCCAAGGGAACCTGAATGCTCCTGAACCATTTCCCTTGTGGAAAGAGTCTTGTGATCTTATGATGTAGGTCCTGAAATGGTGTTCTGCTGTGAGATAGAAGACCCTGGGAGGGGCCAGAACTGGAATCTGTAGCATGGGGTCTGTGCGAGGAGACAGAGGTCCAGGCACAGGTGATGTGAAGAAATTTAGTTATTCAGGTGTGCAGGGCCAGGGTGAACACTTACTGATGGAGCATGAACTAGGATTTTAGGAGATGAATTATTGGAAATTTTAGTCAGGTGCCTGGCACTAGGGAAATCTGTCAGAGGGGAAGAACCCTAACCACAGAGCTAGATTCAGAAGTAAAACTGGACATTCTGAGGAGGGAAAAAGAGAAGGTGCTGAGAGCAGCAAAGCAAGGCCACAGGTCATTTCTTAACACACCAGTTTAGGCTTACCGGACCAAAACAGAAAATCAAGCTACAGACCTGAGGCACAAATACAAAGTGAGCAGACGGTCTTGGAAACAGGTCAGAAGCCTTATGACTAGAAGGGGTCTGTATGAACACACACGAGCCAGGAGGAAGGCCACTTTGTGCTGGTTCCCTGACCTTACCAGAGTTAAGCTGGCAGAGCTGTAGGCAACACAGATGAGTGGGAAGCCAGGAGAGTGCCTCAGAGTCGGCTGGGACAGGTACAGCCTGACCGTCTTCGTGAAACATTTGGCAGTTTCTCTGGATTAAAAATAAACTTTACTTCCTGATCCTCATATTTTCAAAGTTTGCATTTTGAATAATATTTCAAAATCAGAAATGACTTGGAGTCACAAAAGATGTAAAGAACCTGGTTGATGCCCACCTTCATTTCTACTTTGTTATTTTTGTAGTTCAAATTTATGAGACCCTAGCAAAGAAACACATTTGATGTATCTTCCTTTCACATGTCTTAGAAAACTCCTGTAAACGCCAGTTTAAATTACCATTAGAAATAACACACTAAGACTGGGCGTGGTGGCTCATTCCTATAATCAGAGAACTTTGGGAAGCTGAGGCAGGCAGATCACTTGAGGTCAGGAGTTCGAGACCAGTCTGGCCAACATGGTGAAAGGCTGTTTCTCCTAAAAATACAAAAATTAGCTGGGCTTGGTGTGCACACCTGTAATCCCAGCTACGTGAGAGGCTGAGGCAGGACAGTCAATTGAACCTGGGAGATGGAGGTTGCAGTGAGCCAAGATTGCCTTGTTGTACTCCAGTCTGGGTGACAGAGCAAGATTCCACCTCAAACA